CCCCCCCCAAAAAAAAATGGACCCCCCCATTTTTTAATTTTTTCTTTTTTTTTCAATGGGGGGGGGTGGGGTCCTGGTCGCGCCGTCGAAATCCCGACCCCGATCGGTAGGACCCCCCTCCCCTTGGCCACAGCGCACCGATTTCGACCGCGCCCGCAGCGGTCATGACCGCAGCCCCGCGGCCTCGACCGCGGGCCGCGGTCATGCCCGACCGCGGGCCGCGGTCACTGGGGATATATAGGAATCCACCACCCCAGGGTCTTGTTTCCCCAATTGACAGTCATGTCTGAGATTGTTGTGAAGCGATCAAACAGTCGTCTGATCTCTCCCATATTTGCTATGGTGGCATCAACCATGAGTGTCAAATCGTCCGCGAACATCGAACAGATAGGAATCACATCCTCGAGAATGACCGAGATTGGCAATTTTCTCAGGTCTTTGTTGGCGCAAAGGTTTGCCGTCAGCGCTTCCATCACAATTATGAACAGGAAGGGGGACCCAAAGGGTCCCCTTGTCGGACCGGCCCTGCAGCGGGAAAACTGGCGTTATTCTTCCATTGATTTGGACACACGTAGTGGCGTTGTGATGCAGTATCGCTGTCCAGCGCCGGAATATTGACCCGATGTTCATTTTTTCCATACATTTATCTAGGTAGAGCCAGTCCACGTGGTCATATGTTTTTTCAAAGTCGATGAAGACCACGCCCGCATTCTGCTTGTCTTGTCTTGTGAGTTTGAGAAGTTCATTAATTAATAGAATATTATCCTGGATAATGCGCCCTTTGACAAATCCGGTCTGTGTCGGGTGAATAATGTCATCTAAGACCGAGATTAGTCAGTTTGCGAGGACTTTCACAAATATTTTATAAACTACTGTAAGCAAAGGTTATCGACCGGTAGTTTCTGATATCCATCTTGTCTCCTTTTTTGTGTAACAAGGTGCGGATGCCCTGCCCCACCATCTCCCCCATCTCCCCTGTTTCCCACACCTGATGGTAGAACTTCATGAGATCCGGGGCCATCTGCGACCAGAAGGTCTCCCATAATTATTTGGGAAGTCCATCGATGTCCGGCGTCTTCTCTTCATCCATCTGCATCGCTGTCCAGATTCCTCCTTCGTCAAGGGACGGTCCAACTCTGTTTTCTGCTGGCCCGTCAGGTCTTCTCCAAAGGTTTCAAGAAGTCTTCCCTGACATTCCTCTCCCATCGGGCGCACCTTGAGGTGAACAGGTCTTTGAAGAAGGACCTAGCTATCAGCATGCAATGGGGTGTGGAGGTGGCGATATCTTGCTGTCCAGTCTGTGGATCGTATAGCGTGACTTTGTTCATGGGATATCTACTCTTGTTTTTTTTTTTTGCTATCCTATTCTTGTATCAATTACTTTACGAAACCTAATAAGTCAATAATATGATAACACATATAAACATTTATCTTGAATTACTACGACCTTCTTATTTTATGTTATACCCAAGAAGATGTACATCGTTTATAATTTCCATTTGGTTATTCTTGACAGTAATGGCTATTTACTTGGTTGTTTTGTGTGAACGTGCTCGGGCCATTCTAAAGAATTTGTTATCCATTGTTCCTTTTATTTGGTGTTTTGTCAGTCGTCCTCTTAAACGTGCACCATCCCAACGTTGTGTGGCAAAGGTTTGAAGTTGTTGTTGCAGCGTTTGTATCTCTGAGTGTTTGGCCATGTGTTCTTCTGGCTGTGCGTGTGGATTATTAGACTGATCCTGATACTCAAGGTGCTGCAATTGTTGGTGAATTTCCATCTCCTGGCTGCCAAACGTTTGGAGTATTCTTGACATTTTTTACCCAGAAAATACAGGCCGTTACTAAACTAGTCTATTTCCTGCTGAATGTGCTGCCTTTGTGTGTGCCAGAATGTCCAGCAGTCTATTATGTAACTCTGGAAGGCTTTCTGTTGTAAGATAGAGACATTGAGTTTGTAAAAGCCAGGTCCATGATCTGGTTTCTTTCGAAAGGACAGAATGACTGTGGACATTTTATGATCCAGGCCCGGGTAGGGGCTAGCAGGGAGGATTGCTGCCAGCAGCATAGATCCTCCCATACTCTTTTTGCTGTTCTGATTGCTTTCTCTTTCTTTGTCGTTTTCCTGAGTTTTTCTTCCTTGATCAGATTGATCTTTTCTTTTTCGCACTTTTTTCAGTAATCCATTCTCGAAATGGAAATAGCTCGGCAGGAAAGACGGAGCATACGTAATCGAGGGTAGACAGACTAGGACTGGGTACTTTACTTAGTCTCCTGCTGCTTCTTCAGCTTCCTTGCGGCCTTATGTCCTTTATTTCCAAAAAAGACCTTGTTCTTTTTTCATGCATGCCGGTGATAAGCATCCGGAATGGTACCTCCCTAGAATATGAAGGAGGCTTTTGTTTTGTCAAAACAAAAAAAGAAATAAAGAAGAGATTCAAACAAAGGACCTGTGAGCAAAGTCTTTGTTAGCCAACAAGCCTAGGACCTCTGGCTCTCTGAGTACTAAACCCTCCCCTCTGTAAGGCAAGCCACACATATTAACTTGTGTTATTTATACACTCAGTACTCATGGCAATAACGCGCGTTGCTGCACATGAGATTCGAACAAAGGACCTGTGCATGAAGTCTCTGTCATCCAGGCCTAACAGAGGGACCTATGAGTAAAGTTTCTGTTCGGTTAGCCACAGCCACAGGCCTGAACTGTTCAAGTTATGCACGCGCTACTCGTGGCAACGTACGTTGCTGCTTGGGAGATTCGCACGAAGGACCTGTACATAAAGGCTATGTTAGCCAAGCCTGGGACCCATGCGTAAAGTCCGCGTTTAGCATTGCTAAGACACCGCAAGGATGTGCTGCACTCACAAAAAACTGCCAGTGATATACAGGAGGAAGGTGGGGATGATGTCAAGTCCACATGGCCCTTATGGGCTGGGCTACACACGTGCTACAATGGCAATGGCAATAGGAAGCAAGGCTTTAAGGCGGAGCGGCGAGCTGTATGCACTAATCACCCATGTCAATGCGCGTTGCGATATCGCACTTGTCCATCAATATTCGGATCTCGTCCTTCACCTGGTTGTGCGTGAGGTCAAGGGCCACTATACTATCCTGACAAACTTAAAGTGCCAATACCTTTCCCAGGCAAAAATAAAATGCCCGCCCGTTAACACGAAGGCCGGCCCCGGGCAGGCGCAGGCGCACGCGCTATCCAGATAACATCCCAAATGCGAAAGGCGTGCAGGGCGCGCGACCAATATAGGGCAAAGGCACTCGTGGTTGAAACCAACAGTACGCCCGAGGCTGTTTCGCTGAACCAACCCTCCCCCTGCGCGCCGCAATTTGCCGAAGTGCCAGTGCGACATTTTTCTTTTTGATTTGGCTGGCGGTGGCAGTCATCTCTGTCCGGTTGCCCCGAGGCCCGAAAAGCCCCAAAGTTCTCGGTGATGGCGTCAAGGCTGGTTTAAAGCAGGGCATGTTAACCCTCTGCCTTCGCTAACTCCGAGCAGAGGCCATGAAGGTTTTGGGTCTTGTACATCCTCAGGCAGTTGGACAAGGCGTTGTGCCAAAACAGGTGCTCCTCCCACGCCACATGCGAACTCATATGAGAATCTCCCCTTGAATGAAACCTTCGCCAGCTTCAGGCTCTTCCGTCCGGTTGCCAAACCCGGGCATGAGGGCCGAAAAAAAAGAGAGAGAGAGAGAGAGAGAGAGAGAGAGAGAGAGAGAGAGAGAGAGAGAGAGAGAGAGAGAGAGAGAGNAGAGAGAGAGAGAGAGAGAGAGAGAGAGAGAGAGAGAGAGAGAGAGAGAGAGAGAGAGATCTGCAATCTGCTAGATTTTCCAGGGTCATCATATTTTCTACTGCTTGGTAGTTCCGTGCAGCAGTTCCGAAAAGAAATAGAATATCAATAATTATTAATTTCATGTTACTATAATAATATTAACACACATTTAAAAAAAATTGAAGAATCACGCTCCATTTTTACAATTAGAAGACTATTAGATTAGTAGAAATTGGATAAAAATTCATAAAATACAATTCTTGTTTCTTCAAAGATAAAACAAGTATGGATATCCCTCCAGATCTGACCCATGTCCAGGTGCACCGCAGCCGTGTAACCATACGCTGAACATAACTTCCCTTCTGTATAATCAATCTCTTGTAGCATGGTTGAGAAATCACCTGTAGTCGCCGTCTGAAGACAGAACTCCAGGTTACGACTTCCCTCCCCCCTAGATCTGACCCGTGTCCAGGTGCACCGTAGCCAGGTGAACTGTAGCCGTGTAACCATACGTTGAACCTAACTTCCCTGCTGTATAAGTCGCAGTCTGCAGACAGAACTCCAGGAGTCGAGGTCACAATTCCAACACCCTCCGCCCCCTCCCCGCCCAAGATCACATGCTAAGTAAGAGTGCATGGGATCATGGCCCACCTCCTCCATATTGACAGCCCCAAGGTTCACACAGCATTTCATCCTCGTGATGGAACCGGTGATTGAGCCTTCCTTTTGGGCCTTCTCTTGGAAATTCCTGGGGACAAGCGTCTGTATGTCACGGTTAACAATGCGCTGCACTCGCTATTGACAAAGAGTAGCACCTTGGTTTACTTTGGCTCTGGAAATCCCTTTGGTCGGTTCAGTACTCCCATGAAGAACCACCGCCTGTACCAGGCGTGGATTGACGACCAGATGCTGGACCTCAAAAGTATCAGCTCAGTGTCCTGCAAACAAGCTTTGTCATGCCTATTTCTCGTTCATCACCAGTGGCAAAATCTTACACGCAAGAGCCTAGCAGAACCGATGGCAGAGCTTGCTCGAATGTGTTCTTGGATGCAGATCTGACCATGTTCAAGTCTTCCGATGCAAGGTTGTAGGCTTGCCACGCTGACGACATCAATAAGTGGGATTTCGCTGAGGTCCTTCCATGACTACTGTTGAGGAGTGCTCCATAGGCCTGTTTTCCGCCGAGGATTTCGTAGCACCATCGTTTCCAGTCTTTCCAGTATTCAGTGCAAGAGGCTCGTATTTTGGCTTGTTAATGGTCAGAATGAAACATGCAAGGCCATGGACAACGCAAATGAGAATGCACTGGTAGACCTGGCTTGTCCACACCTGTTCAAACACAACAGATATACCCATCCGTTACGAGCCACAAGTGTTAAAGAAATATGTTTACACACACACACACACACACACACACACACACACACACACACACACACACACACACACACACACATACATACACACGCACACGCACACGCACAGGGACACACTTATCCATAGCTGAGTGGGTTATAGAGTAGATTCTAAGACTGGGACAGAAGATTATTCTCTGGGGAAAATCAGTGAGTGGAAAAGGCACTCCCAGGCAACCGTCGTCAGGTTGGAATTCTATATAGTAACCCCAAAGACTTGCCTAGAAGAATTCGAAGCACTTACTCGAGGAATTGGTCCCCAGGTCATGAACCTGGACAGACAGTCTGCCCAGGGGGTTACCGCCGTTCTTGCCAGGGGTTTGAACTGGCAATCTGCTAGGATTGCAGGGTTGGTGTGAGACAAGTTGACCACTTTTCTCCCAGAGGTTGAACCTGGACAGACAGTCTGCCCAGGGGTATCGCTAAACTCTGGGCGACATGGCGAGTCCTTAATACTCCTTATCCACCAGCCAAATGAATCCTGGACAGACTGTCTGTCCAGGTTCTTCAACCTCCTCCTGAAGAGTCGGTGAAAGTCCGACGAAACAGTCTGTTCGGCACAGTCGTGCTTTTTCTTTTGTGGAATTGTGTACAGTGAACATGACAATGCAGACACACAAATTCAAATCCTTTGTTTGTTTGTTCCTTCTCAGTTTCCCCCGTGCTCTCTTCAGCATCCAAGTTCAGCAATATCAAACTTCCAGTGACTTTCCCAGCTATTCTTTTCTGATGCGGCGGGGTACTGCGGGCGGTGGTTACCCCGCCGCCTTAACAGGGGCTCGGCCTACCAGACCAAACATGGGTCGCAGGGCTTGGTAGAGAGAAAAGGTAGAAAACAGCTCGGCCTACGACACCAAACATGGCTCGCAGGGCTTGGTAGAGAGAAAAGGTAGAAAACAGCTCGGCCTACCACACCAAACATGGCTCGCAGGGCTTGGTAGAGAGAAAAGGTAGAAAACACTTTGCAGTGTTTGCACCTGTGTCAGTCCGTTTTTCCTGGGCGCGCGGCACCAATGCAGGTCCGGAAAAAGAGGCTCAGAGTGAGCGGTGGTTTAAAATGTGCTGTATAGTCCGTGCCCGTTCAATAGGAGTCCCCGAAAAGCACTTTGAGGGGCTTTGAGGGGGGCTGCTGTTTTAAGGTTGCTGTGCCTCTCCATGTATTTTCGTGTGGTGACACACATTCGCCTTGTGGCTCCCACGCTCTTGACGGTGGCATGAACCTACAGACTGCAGCGTTTTCCATATGATGTGCGTAACTTATATACTCTGATCGGATCCTTGTGCCATACATTGGTTTCTGTGCCGATGCCGCCGTCCCGCTTGCCTTCCTGAACGCCTTGCTGTGCTGTTGCCCACCCATCCACCCTTTTTCTTTCTCTATTTCTTTTTTCTTATCTTTTTTTCCTCTCCTTCTTTTTCTTTCTTTTTTAAAAGGGCGACGGCCTTGAGATCTCGTCATTAGACTGACCGGCCCCAGGTACATCAGAACTGTTGTATTCTGTTCATCTCGTTGCATCTGGATTCGAACTTGGGTCTGAGTAATTCAACCGTTCACCGGCGTACCAACTGAGCGCCTGCTGCGTGCCTTGCTGTGTTGTTGCTGTGTGCCCTCCCCGACACCCACCTGCCCACCCGCTTGAGTTGCTAAAGCAGGTCATGACTGAAAGCATTGTCAGGAGATTCTGCAGCCTGCCGAGGATTCAGCCTCCTGATGAGTCAGTGAGACTCCGCCTAAACAGTCTGTCACTACGACTCTGTTCTCCGTGTGGGTATTCTTGATCTGTGTCCAGTGAGACTCTGCCAAAACAGTTTGTCACTACGACTGTGTTCTCCGTGTGCATATTCTTATCTGGGTACTGCTTCTGTTCGCCGTATCCAGACGTGTGTGTGAACCTTAGGGCATAGCCCTTTCAGCCTATGCTAATGTCCAATAGCAAATTTCTCCTGTGCCGCAAAGTATGTGGGCCAAACTTAGGATAAGCTAAGGCATGCAGGAACACACACACACAAACATCCACACCCACACCCACACCCACACCCACAACCACACCCACACCCACACCCACCCACTACCACCCACCAACACACACAAACACAAGGGCGAAAGAGCACACATTTAAAGCGTACACGGATTCATATTCCCTATTTTAACGAATCTT